GCGAGGAGTAAGTCGGCGTCAGCAGTGCAGAATGAGCTACTAAGAGAAGAACGATATGCAAGTGAAAGTCAATGATTTGGGACGGTCGATGCCGGTAGTGTGATGTAATGATAACCCAGTGGCGATCGTGAATGCCTCCGGCCAACCGACCGAAAGAGAGGCGAAACCATGTCACGTCCAATGTGTAGCCGCGGGCAGAGTTTCCTTGGCAGTACTCACTACAGATGGCTCCGACGAAGGCCGCAAAGAGTAGGCGCTGCTGTCTTCGTCTCGCTCCTTTTCATCCTGCACTATGTTCACTGATTCATTCTGTTCCGTGACCTTCTGCGGCCACGGCCAGAGAAGAGGCCACCTCAATGTCACCCCGGACCTTGTCTTATCCATAGACTGGGCCTCCAAAAGATTTCCATCGGGACTTGCTTCATTCGACATGATCGATTCCAACCCTTCGATCTGTGTTTCCAAGCTGCGGATGGACTCGGTCGAGTCGTGATGCTGGAGACGCCGTCGAGCAGAGCTTACTTCCGCCGGTTGCCGCCAAGTCGCGGCATCGTTCCTTGCCTCGGCCAGCAATACTGTCAGTCGAGCAATGATCTTGTTTTCGCACTCCCTGAGATCAGCCCGCATCTTGTCCAGCGGGCGGTCTTTCCGCAGTTTGGCGAGGTACAGGGGATACTTTTCGGCGACAACGGCGCAGCAGAACACGCGTTTTCGAATGAGCCTCAGCTGGAGCCCGACATTGTCAACGAGTTCGGCGCAGATAGCATGGAGCGTGCACAGTTGCTCATCGTGGGGGAGCTCGATCTCCCGCAAGATGCGCTGCGTGGTGTTTGCGGCACGGACGGCGGCCTCCAGGTCTCGGAGGATTGTGGCAGTTTTCGGATCGCGCTTCTCGAGGCCGCTGATGGTACTTTGAAAATATCGTAGATGCTCTGTTACTATGGGCGCAAGGTCGGTGATGCTGGTTGATGGTTCCGCCATTGCTCGACGAGGTATTCGAAGTGCTGACCTCAAGTGGTCTTTTCTTCTTTTTCAGAAAAGCTACGAGGAATACAAAAGAGCAGAAATCTTATGCTAGGTTTGTCGGTCACAGTGTCTCTGGGGCTATGTATCAATCCTCGGAGCAGCTCAACATCATCGGGGTTTCGTTGCCACGTGGATGGCCTCAAAGGAACCCAACAGGATTCGTTCGACGAGATCCTGCAGCCTGATGACTGCTGTTCAGGCTGAGCATTCAACCCACCTGCGAATCGGACATGCCGAACACGACTGGATGCATGGCGATTGGTACATGAACAGCAGCTAATGCGCCTACGGGCACCGGCTTCTTGATACACTGACCTGTGACCCATCCCTCAGTCAGGCAGCACTGACACGAGTCCGGAAATACTTGCCGATAGATGCGCAGTTGGCTCCTCCTTCAGAGCCTTGAACGCACCAACAAGTGCGAAGGTGGTTTTCAACGAATCGGCCATCGGACATGCTCATTGTTGGCGACATAAGATCATGGATGATTGTTCTTCGATTTCCTGCATTGTACAGTCCGACGTCCATTCAGCCATTGTGCGGCCAGAACAAATCGCATTCAGTCCCCCCGACTCGAGCTAACCATGACAGACTGTGTAACCACGATCTTATCCCTCCCTCTCATGTGAACCAATTCCTCCTGACTGCTAGTGTCGTTGTTTATCTGAACAGTATTTCGATACGCTTGCATGTCGATGTCGTTTCCGTGGGCAGACTTGGACTTTGGCTTGGAGCTGCCTGGGACCCCCATGTTGTAATAGTTGTTTCTGCTCTTCGAGACAGCTTTGGCTTTGCGGAACAGACCAGGCCCGCACCCGATGATGACGGCTGTGATGCGGAATTGACTCGTCAGCATGGAAGACGTCAAGGAGGGAAGAATAGGGTCATCAAAGGGGTGCATACCGATTGCCGACTCCACGATCCCCCACAGCGCGAGCCACGAAGTTGCGGGCTGCTTGAATGACGAGCCCTCGACTGCGTTGCGCCCGAGGTAGGCGACGCGAATGGTCGATACGGCGACGCAGACCCAGCCGAGGCAGAACAAGCCCGCTATGCTAAGCTTGCGAGACATGTTCATCTGGAGGTTGCGAATGAGGCCAAGGGGCAGAAGCATAACTACACGCTGGCGTTAGGGAGAGAAAGAGGGGTGCATTGGTTGGATTTTCTTGTCGGCAAGGTTTTCTCACCAAGAATGTCTGTGAGTATGTCTACAGCATAGGAGTACCAGAGACTGATATACGCCGCCTCAATGTCGCGCTGCGTACCGCACGCCCCTGCTGTGAACCAAGCTTTCATACTGGAGCAAGACAGCATCGACGAAGTGATGGCGCCTGCTAGAGTCTGTATCACGAACGTCAGTATCTCTCTTCTGTCGGGCGGAGCACAGTGTTGAGTCGGGGGCTCCATACCAAAATGCAAATCCCAACGGTTACCCACCAGAGGATGGTGAACAAGCGTAGATTGACCATCAGCCTCTTGTAAACTGCGAGGAGGGACCCCTTGACGAGCCACAGGCTGATCCAGAGACCCGAAGTGGTCACGAAGAATGTTTTCTGGATCCTCAGACTGTCTTCCAAGATTGTCGCGTACATCGGTATCCTGCCAGCAGCGAGGTCCTCGAGCCTGAATATCGTCGGCCCTGCCAACATGTAAAGAATGGAAATTACCAAGAATACAATGTACGCCGCGATGAGAAAGCCATCTTCCCAAGCGAGATGCCTGCGCTCGAGCAGGCTGGTTGCCAGTCTGAAGCCAAAGACTGCACTGGTCAGGGTGACCATGCAGATACCGGTTGCCAGAAGCGCCGTGTTGTCTAGCGTATTTGAAGACATGATGTTCGTTTTGCCTCTGAAGACCGCAGCCGGAACTCTGGGCAGGTATTGGGTTCCGAAGTATCGGGACGAGAAGGACCAACCTTCAGTTCATATTGTATGGCATGAGTGCGGCCCAGCTGCGGGCCACAGGGAAGACCTCGGGGGCATCGTTCTTCAAAGGTTATATCTCTTACCTACCGTAGGCTGCATGCCAGGACGACATGGGTTAAGTCTAGGCTGTCCTACACTGTGTCGTTTGTAGGTTGGCTTGGCCCAAGGACAATGCCGGTGACATTGCCTCATCCGTTGTTCTCGTCACACTCTTCATGCACTGCATCCTTCGACCTGCATGTGCCGGGGACCCTGCCCGACGGACTGGGCCCTCGGTTCGCCATTGCCATGTGGAAGGATGCAAATTGAATTGGTAAATTGGTCACATCGTAACATTGTTTTGTCTGATAAGGAATATTTAACCAGCATCCAAGTAACGTCCTGAGTATGTTCATGGTCCGTAGGTATGTTTGGCATGTTTGGAAGCTATTCTGATGCCGAGACGTAGTTTGCAACGAGGGGCAAGCGAGGCATTGTAGGATTGAGGCTCATAAGCAGCTTGCCGTCTGTCAACACCATGTCGACAGACTGGAAGGGGCAGCTACTCTAGCATTCCTTCGTATACAGTGTACCACATGGAAGAGCCGGTGACGCCACCATCAAGGTTGTTCGTCGCTAGTCGGTGCTAGTCTCGAACACAGTTCCTGGTGGCTGCATCGGCCGTTCTTCGCCGTGCTTTGATAGAACGTCGATTTTACTATACCCTACTGCGTATGCCAGAAAATAAAAGACATGTGCTCAGGTAAACTTCGGAGATACTGTCTGTTTGTACAACTAAATGATGGCGCACGTTCAACTGTCTCCCGTCGACATCCAGAACGCTGTGTTGATCTCGCTCCTTTTGTGGACTTTGACCCCAGGGAATGGCACAACACGTATTGCCTCGCCACCATGGCGCTACTGGCGGGGAGGACGGTGACGGCCCGTTCGTGCGGGTAGTAGGGCTTTCGTGTGGGCGAACGACCAACAATGAACGCAAAAGAGGGCTGGCCCAGGAGCATTTCACAGCACAGGGTTCCCGGCAAGGAGACTCCGGGTTGATCGTCTCGCTCCCCCACGGCCACTGCTAACCGACGTCTCTTCGAATCCAATCATGGCCTTGCAAAACCTTAGATCCCTGAAAGGGGGCTCAACCCTGAACCCTGAACCCAGCAGGTGGGCTCGACTTTTTGACCGCAGCCAACAAGTCTGTCAGGTTTCGAAGGAAGTGAGGTCTCCTAGAAGAGCAAGCATGTGCTTCCATCTGTCGCCAAGGGTTGACTTCCTCCGGTTGGAGGCGGAGGAGCCCACGAACCTCGCTGCGTATTCTTTAGCACTGACAACCGAGCTCACTGTCATCTCGGCTCCGGCGGGATTATGGGTTGGTAGTCTCATGCAGTTAAGCTCAACTGCGGCATCGATAGTTCGCCCATGAACATGCCTTGCGTGGCGAGCATGGCTCCCTCAGGTGTCTCATCAACCTCTTTAAGACATTGCTATTCCAACATGCCCCCCTTGACAAGACATTCGCTTCCTTCTCTCCTTTCTCTACCCCTCTCCTTGTGGTCTCGATCTTCTGTCTTCCACCCATCCAGAAGGCAGCCCTGTGTTTCATCATGATTGCCACTCGATTGATCCTTTCCCTCTCCTTGAGCGCCATTGGCGCCGCGGCCCAGGCCCTTGAGTCTCCGGACTTCAATGTTACCCAACAACTGCTGGACCTCGGCGTCAACGTCGGTGATCTCCCGGAGCTGTCAAACTTCGTGGAGCGCCGTTCCGCCAATCTTCCCTGCGCTGCTGCGGTTTGTTACCTCGCTGCCTACCCCTGCAGACAGTTCTGTTTTTCATTCATGCTGCTCTGAACTGACACCGAGTAAACAGTGCCTCTCCTTGTCTGTCACCTTTGGGCGTGATTCTGTACTTTTCAGAGGTGAGGCTCCCTATGAGAGCTTCACAGGTGCCTATTGGTCTGAGAACCAGGGCGAAGTCAACCCTTACTGCATCTTCAAGCCGGCCAACCCATCAGCCGTCTCTGTGCTCGTCCTCTTGTCGCGACTCACGCAATGTCCCTTTGCTGTCAAGAGTGGCGGCCATGCCGCCTTTGCCGGCGCGTCCAGCATTGAGGGTGGCATCACCGTGTCGCTTGAGAAGATCAACCAGGTCACGCTTTCAAGTGACAAGAAAACGGTACTCATCGGAGCGGGCAACCAGTGGTCCGATGTGTACCGGAAACTTTCAAAGTCAGACGTGGCCGTTACCGGCGGCCGCGTGTCTAGCGTTGGCGTTGGGGGTCTTTCACTCGGAGGTGAGTTGAGTGTGATGCTTCAGCAAGCTCAGCGTTCAGATGATTAACATGGCCCCAAGGCGGCATCTCGTTCTTCTCCAACCTTCACGGCTGGGCATGTGACAATGTTGAGAGCTATGAAGTATGTACCTCCCAAGATGGACCACCGTGTGATGCTGCCACTCTCAACACGAGACCAACTTGATCTGACCCTGCCCATAGGTCGTCACCGCCACGGGCATCATCCTCACGGCGAGCCCGAAGCAGAACCCGAACCTGTACTGGGCGCTCCGCGGCGGCGGCAATAACTTTGGCATCGTGACCAACTTCACGTTCCGGACGATCCCGCTGCCGGGCGGCCAGCTGTGGGGCGGCACGAAGACGTTCATGGAGCCGGCTCTCGACGCCGTCGTCGACGCCTTCGCCGGCATGGTGACCGACTCGCCGCAGGACCCCAACGCCGGCCTCTGGGTCGCCTGGCTCAAGAACAGCGGCCTCAAGCTGGCGGCTACGGAGCTCTGGTACGCCAAGCCCGACGGCGGCTCGGCCCGCCATCTTTGACGCCTTTAATGCCATCACGCCCATCGCCGACACGACCGGCAACAAGTTCCTGCACGACTACACCGACGGCCACCTGGCGGGCAACCCGTCGGGGCTGCGCGAGATCTACTACGGCCTCACCGTCAAGGCGGACGCGCGCATCGCGCGCCTCGCCCGCGACATTTTCTACGAGGAGTACCCGGCCCTCCGAAGGCGTCGGCGGCCCCAAACCCCGTCATGATCTTCCAGGCCATCACGACCGGCCAGATGGCGCGCATGCGCGCCAACGGCGGAAACCCGCTCGGCCTCGACGCCGCCGACGGGCCCCTCTACCTGATCCACGTCGCCTGCTTGTGGCAGGACGCCGCCGGCGACGCCGCCATCTACGCCATGATCTCGACCGTGCTGGCGCGCATCACGGCCGAGGCCAAGGCCCTCGGCCTGCAGAACGACTACGTCTACATGAACTACGCGAGCGCCTTTCAGGACGTCATCAAGGGCTACGGCGCCGCCAACGCCGCCCGGCTGAAGAGCATCGCCAGGACCTATGATGTCACTGGCGTCTTCCAGAGACTGCAGCCCGGCCACTTCAAGTTGAACCGCGCCCCGGTGACGGGCACGGGGTACTTCTCGGGTCTTGATGCGTAGCTGGTGTTGCTCCACGCGGTAGTATCTAGAGTCGGGGATGTCATTGAATGATAAGGTATTCGAGGTGACCATTGCTTTGTGTCGTGATTATGCATACCCGTCGTTGTGTTGGCGGCGCATTCACAGAAATCCTGACGCGAGCATCTAACACCGCAAGAGTGTAGTCACGGCAGTGCTACGACAACAGTTCGCCCTCTTTCCTTCTGCTTCTTCTTCTTTCTTCTTCGTTGTGTTGTTGCCTAGGGCAGTATCTACTCTATCACCACAGTCCGTAATCGTCCCCAAAAGGTCTAGCCAGCCAATGTACCTCCGTGGTGGCGATGGCTTCAAATATCTCCTTGTCGTCTGGCTCATCCAAGCTACGACTCGTCCAGTTTCGCCATCCTAGGTTACCCCACCCTACTGTACCTATCATGCTTGTTTGCGCTCTCCTCCCTGGTCACCTCCAGCTCTTCCATAACGCCAGCAGGTAGTTGGCGAACGTCTTCTTCTCCGTCGACGTCGTCATGGCCCTCAAGAACTCCGATCCATCGATACCCAGGTGCGGAAACAACGAAGACTGCAGGTTCTGGATAAACATGTCCCCAGTCTTTGTATAGATGACCTGCTCCAGTGCTGCAATCTCCGTGAGGACCTGTTTGCTCTGTGCGTCCGTCACGGGTTTGAATTGCGGGTCGCGGAGTATCTCCCAGCAGAGCGGGTGGAAGCGCTCGATCATGAAGCGGTCAAAGCCGGGGATAGTCGGGTTCGGCGAGCCTGTCGGCGCTGTGGGATTGGCCGAGATTGTGGCGATGTCAGGACCACCCCAGACGCCGACCATGCGCGTCAGCACGCCAATGGCCAGGCGGCTCGGACCCAGGTTGCCCTCGATGGTCCGGCCAAGGGAGATGACGGATGTGATCATAGATTCGAAGAAAGCTTGATTCGTCTCGCTGATAAACACAGACTCGAGGTTGTTGTTCATGATGATTTGGAGGAATGACAGATATTCCCTGCGCAGTTCTCCGAGTTGAATCTCGTCATCGGTGCCATTGATGGGTTCTGAGAGGCCAGTGAAGATCCGCTGCAGCAGCGGGGTCAGCAGCATGTTCAGTACATCATAAATCTCCGTCTTGAAACCGAACACGACCTGGTCAAGAAGGCGCAGAAACATGGCCATCTCGTCTTTGGAAGAGCTCTGACCGAGGAACCCTTCAATCCACTGGGGGAGCTGAGGCAGTACAGCAGCGCCCAGAACTCCTAGAAGCTTGGAGAAAGAGGAACGGCACGCAGTGCGGATCTCGGCAGAGCTGTTGAGCTCCCGAAGCGCAATCAAGATGGCTTCAGCCGCACGAGAAAACTCGGCAGACACAAGCTTGTCGGGAGGCGGGCGAGGGTGAGCCGCGGTACTACCGGGGACCCAGTCAGAGAAGCCGTGGGCTAGAGTACCAAGGGCCATGATAACGTGATGAATCTGGAGAAGGGCTTGGGCGTCTCCAGACTTGGCCTTGGGGCAGGTGGTTCTCAATGTCGGTGAACAAGGGGATCCATCACCAGGGCGAGCATAGAGCGCCTGCTTGTCTGCTGGAGTGGCTGCCGTCGAAGAAATGCATCCGATGGCCTCGAACAGGTAGAGCTGGCTCGTAAAGAGAGCATCGGCCGAGTGATCCGACTCGTCGGACGACATGTCATCGTCAGCGTCATTTTCTGTCACTTCGGCCTTGATGGGGAGCAGATCGCCGATGGACTGAATAATCGTTTCAGCCACATTGCCGACCTGCGCTCGGAGGAACTTGACAAAGCGGTGGAATAGATACCACGATCGTGTTTTGATGCGGACGTGGCTGTGATGAACTAATTGAACAAAGTTCTCCAACACACGCGGGATGTACTCCTGATGAGCATCGAAGATCTGCCAGTATCGTACGCAGATCTCCATATACTGTAGCACAATGGCAGGATGAGAGAAACTAGCAATGCCTGTGGACGCCTAGTTAGCATGTGGGTTTGTCACCGACGATATGACATTGACGTACCCGACTCAACCATTTTCTTCATCATGATGGTTAACCTCTCAGCTGCGGCTCCGGAAGGTTGGTTCTTCGAGCTCAACCCCTGGTTCGGCAAGGCAAGCTCGCCAAAGAGATACATCTCGTGCAGAGCCAGGTCGAGATCCCTCCAGTCCATCTGCTCGCCTCGCTGGTCAAGGGTCTGGAACGTCTCAGCCACAAGATTGCTCAGCACATCAATGTAGAGGTTCTGGTCAACAGCGGCGACAGTCTTTTGCAGGACTTGCAGTCGCTTACGAAGCTCTTGAAACTCGGCCTCATCCGTCTGCTCGTCTTCAGCACCCCAGTTGGAGGTTTCATCATAGCGCATCTTCCGGATAATGGCATTGAGAATGGGCGGCAACATTTCAGAGTAGTTCTGCGGCAGTGTGCCGGCCTTGCGCAGAAGCGTGAGAAGGTCCGTGAGCGAGGGGATGACTGTGGAGCAGATCTCGTCGTATTCGTCCGAGAAGAAGCGGAGCAGGAAGGGAAGGAAATCGTGAAGATGTTGCTCGCCACGGCTGCGGGTCTGGCTATCGACCTGTCCGTCTTCAAGAACCCTGACAACATCAGTCATGACCGTGTTGACCAATTTGGCGATAGCCTCAGCGAGATCAGTATCGTATTGGGGGGTCGATTTCAGTTCGTTCAAGGGCGCGCTGGCGACAAGTTGGCCGACAATGTCCCGCAGGCTAAGGAACGAAAGGAGCTCCATCTTCTCGGGACCCTTCATTCTCTTCGCCACAATTTCAGTCAAAGCATCAATGGCTGCGTCGCGGACCTTGTCCTCGGTGCCGCCGGGGTTACTCCTTCCTACAACGGGGAGGATAAGGTTGAGCATTTCCTGGTTCACGACAAGACCAATGTCCATCCAGCTAACCCACTTGCCAATAACCCTCATGATAGTCTCGGTAATCTGGTCATTCTGACCAGCGTGGCGCACAAGAAGATCCTTCCACGACTGAGCAATCTTCTGGACATGACGGTCCCTGAGCTGGTCCTTGAGATCGGTGTTTCGCTTGGCGTCGTTGCTGTTCCGGCTCAGCAGCATATCGGCAATCTCATCATGTACGGACCCCAGGATTCGGAGGTAGAGGACAGTGCCGGAGATATTGTCCTGCCGAGAGCTGTTGGGCGAGTAGGTGAGCGCCAGGAAGTCGTCGATGAAGCTTTCCCAGCCGTCGGCATAGAGAAAAACAAAGAGATACGTCAGAGTCTGAGCAAGCTTGTTCTGCAGAGAGGGTGGGTCGACCTGGTCCTGACGATCCTGGCCGTAGACCTGGCGAACGTATTCGAGGAGGATCTGCTTGAGGAACGAGAGGCTGGCGCTGTCGAGCCCCTGGGTATGCACCGCATTGTTGACAATTTCCAAGCAGACCATGCGCACGACCTCGGAGGTCCGGGGCGTTCGGGCAAAGAGGTTGGCGCTGGCTTGCCAGCCCTGGGGATCAGTTCGCAGCTGGTTAAGAAATTCGAAAGCCTGTCCCTTCAGAGCCTGGTCCGAAGTGGGGCTCCACGCGATTTCGACCGCATTCTCGATCTGTAGGGAAGCAGTCTATTAGCACTTGAGGTATCACTACCAAGTCTCTGCTGGTGAGTTGGAGGTGTCCTTGGAGCAGAGTCTAGTCTGCCGTGCCTTTTTTCCCAAAGAATACGGCAAGCGGCTGATGACGTTGGCGAGGCTAGCGAAGGAGAAGCCGATATGAACGCATGCAGACGTACCTGAGCCTCCATATTTAGATACGTGTTGTGTTGCTGATGCGCGAAGAGCGAGATGAGGCGGGGTGGGTCGCTGGTTGCTTTTGAAGCTGCTATTGACCTGGCAGCTGATGAAGCCGTGCATGCGGCATAGTTGACGAGAGGAAGAAGCGACGAGGAAGCTACTCAAACGCCATTACAGGGTCGAGTCGAGGGGTTTGGTTTCGTTTGGCTGGTTTTTGGAGGGGGTCAGGAGGGGTTCGGTTGGGAATTTGGGAGTCAGAGGCCCAGCTCGAGATGGGCGGTGGTTGGTGGCGGGGTAAAGGGCAGGACGGTGTCGAGGGCTGGACAAAGGATCAAAGTCGAGTGAGCGTAGATTACCTCGTCAGCGGAGAAAAGTAGAAGAGCGATATCGTGTCGAGAGAATGGGTATCTTGGTCAGGCTTCCGGGTCTTCGTCATGCAGGTGATGTGCAGTGGAGGACAGGAGGGCCAGTTGATTTTCAAAAGTCGGTGCAGTCTCGTGCACAACACACAGAATGTGGGGTCTTGGGAGTGCGGTGTGGAATCGCTGTTGCCCAAAGCCCGTAGTGTCGTTATCAGCCGGCAAATCGTCGGGTTGGGGGAAGCTGCCCCTCATAACAGTGCGGCGTGTGCATGTCTTGTTCTACTGCACTGTCGTCGCGTCTGGATGGCTTCACAATGGCACTCGATACACTTGCGTTCCTTATCATCTCCGAAGAACCATGAGCATTCCGCAAAGCATGCTGACCAAATGGCTGGCATTGCCTAATCTTTCTGCCAGCACAACTTCCACCATCTACGAACAATCCCTTCTTCCCCTACGAGGTCAAAAAGGGGTCTCTTTTCTCACCGCTTCGTTGTACTGACTCCCCGCTTCTTCGAAGCGGCCACTTGATCTAGGACGCTCGACAACAAATAAATGTTCGGGTTGTTGCTTGAGACCATGGTTGCTCTCGTCGACGCCGACCGCTCAGGCTGACGGATGCCCGTCTGCCTTCAAAGCCCCTCGCCTGATTGCGACCTTGAACACTCATTCTTGACGATTGATTTGCATCTCCTCCCGAGTGCACGGAAAGGGTATGGAGCCTACACAGAACAGTATTGCGGATCCGTCAATGTGCTCATCGCCAAGCTGCAGCATCGCTTCAGGGACAAGAGCTGCGCAGGGCAACGTGGCTTCGGCATTTTGGATGCACCCACAATGCTGACCATCCTGTCTCAGCTCCCTGGATGGGCGGTGAACTCGACATTGGTGTCGAACGACAAGATCGGCTATTTACAACGCCGCAAGCGTCGTCGAGCACCACGTCGTGAAATCCAGTCAGCTCGACTTTTCGACAGCGTAGATTATTGGTTGCGGTCGACGCGACCTCACCGTCGACATCTGTGCTTCTAACTCGAATCCTCGTCCTGCCCTTTGGTATAACAGATGTCCGGCCGGCCGGCCGTTTCGGCCGTTCCGAGGCGGGCATGAAATTCGGATTTTGCAGTGCACCGGCCAGCACGTCACCCTGGTCAAGGTGGTTGGTGACGTGGAATAATCGCCATCAGCATCGTGTTGCCTGGCATTCTGATCCTGACGAAACTCTACAATTGTAGTCAGTACAGGCCATCGCCGTGACCTGAGAGGCTAATTCTGGACTGGTTGCGCCTTTGTATGATCCGAGCTCTTCAGCAAGGATCGATAGTGCTGACCTTCATATGGCGACGGCGAAAGCGAGAAGAAAGTGCAGGACTCAAGTGCGAGATGAGCGCACCCGCGTCATTATCTACCCCAGTGCCTTCAGCCCGCCGAGGCCAGGTCGGTGAAAGCCCACAACTGTAAGCCCCTGAGTCCGGCAGTCTTTTCGTCGGTTCTCCGCTAGACCATCTTTGCTTGGCAACTTGGCTCCCGTAGCGTCCAGGGCAGCCAGGCTGGTCCGTAATCCTACCACGCTGTGCAGAAATGGGGCCGCAGTACCGTCAGATTTGGTCTCCTTTTGCGGGGAACACCAAATTGAGCCCTTCCGTCTGAAATTGTCCGAAATTGAAGTCTCGTATCGTCTGTGGGGGACTGTCTGGACATTGACTTTTCACTTCTATTGGTATCAGAAATGAGCCGACCGTATCCAACAACAGATTTCCCCGTTTTTCCCTAGGTCTCTG